ATTTGCTTTTAATGCAGTAATTTTATTTTATTTTTATTCAAGACATCATCAAAGCGACCAAAGCCTAAAGAAAAACATAAAAAGAAAGACAAAAAATGCAGGTGGAATTGAAGGAAAAATGCCCATGAGAATGAAATTGCAACTTTTTGGAAGTAGCATTCAGACTAGTGAGCCTGCATGAGTTTTGGTTTTTACCTTTTTGTTATCATTCACGAGATTCACCCACCCCAACCCTCACGAGATCCTCTCTCAATCAACCAGTTTCCACAATATTTACGGCGCCACACGTTTAATTTCCACCACATCTTAGCTTTCATTCAACAAAACTTTCTAAGTTGGGTTGGGTGGTTGTGCTCTGTCGACCGTGTAAGAGTACTTCGGCAAGCGACATCAAAATGAGTCGGTGAACTTAACCTATTTTAGATCAATCCCAACTAGTTCATGAGTTGGTCTGCGTGAGATTGTTCAAATGGGTGACCTATGACGACCGACTTAGTACGTTAGATTTTATTAAAAAAAGGTAAAAGGTAAATGTAAGCAAAACTAATTGGTGATGTTTTAGGCGTGAATGTTATTTAAAAGTTCATATGATTAAGTAATTGATAAACAATGGTCTAAAATGGGGTTACTCGATATTGTAAATATCATTGATCAACTATGAATTGAAAACTTTTTATTTTAATTGGTCTTTTATTAAATATTAAAATTCATTTTGAATAAAATCTTGAAGTGGAAGAGCATATATTGGGCCTAGGTTTAGGTTGACCGATTCATGGGTAAATCATTCACCCAGGTAAATTTGTAGGTAAGATTCCTACCGAATGCATTGCAAATGTTCAGTTCAATAGGCTGGCAAATTCATTTTTACACTAAACCTAGTTTAAGGGACGAAGACAAAAAGAACTTCACCAAAAAATGAAATAAAATAAAAAAAAATATCAATCCCCACCGGCCTCCCTTAAATCCCTAGCGAGATCGGGATGGTAATGACCATCGTGGCCCCTTCCTACACTTTTGTCATTCCTATGTGCCATCCCGATTCAATGTGGCCCCATCAAAGTCACCAACTAACGGTGGATTTTCCTTCTTTGGTATCATTGGCCGCATTTCGCTCAAAGGGTTGATGGAAGATAGTGCATCAAGTTGTTTGCAAGGGTCAACTTGATCCTTTTCCCCAAGGATCTCACACGTTGGTTTGCCTCTGGCCTAAATCAACCTAAGTTAAATGAAGTCTCTAATTCCATTCGTTCCCCTAACTTTCTTCTCACAGTGTTAGTGTCGGCCTAACGGAGTGCTTTTGCCGTTGATGTTCTTTCCGATCTCCACGCACAAATACAGATCTTTGGTACCATCCTTGATACTGAGATATACCATAAGACCAATAAGTTGATTAGAGATCAACTTCTTGGCAAGTAGTTAGTTTATAACAATCAAAGTAAATAAGAATGGAGTTTCTTTGATGACCTGAGATCCAATTGTAGAAAAAACAAAAGGTTGCGGATAACTGTTTCAAGAAATTTGCATATCCCTCTTTTTTTGGATAGAATAAAAAAATCCCTTCTTTTCCATGCTTGAAAAACAAAACTTGGGCCGCGTCGTCCAAATCATCGGTCCGGTACTAGATTTAGCCTTTTCGCCGGTCAAGATGCCTAATATTTAATGCTCTGGTAGTTAAAGGTCAAGATACTGTTAGTAATTTCCTAGTTATATCATCCGCAACTGCCTGAATCTTGAGACGTTCTTTGAACCAATCATAAACTTTATTGAGATAGGTGAAAAATCCCCCTCCTAGAACCGTATATGAGACTTTCGTCACATACAAAGACTTAATGGCATTATTAAATATATTATATATTGATGGTTGATGTGGCAAAAGGACCGAGCAGCTCGTTGAAGTTGAGTACATGGACAGCTAAAACGAGCCCAAGCACGAGCCGAGCATCAAGCTCATGAGCGGCTGGTGGATCGTAAGTTCATGAGCCCATGAGCACGAACAAAAAAGTTTTAAAAAAAAATTGAAAAAAAAAAACTCGAGCTCATGGCTATATGTTGTCTCGGCCCATTATCATCTCTAACTGATGGACCTAGGAGGTCCAGTGGACGCACATTTGGAACTGCAATTGATTGATCAAGTGTGAAATTGAAAGGCATTTCTCATGTGTATGAGAAGCTCGAAGCCCTCCCAAAACTTTGATATTAGCCTTGCTCCAGAGAGCAAAAAAGATGAGTAAAGAACTGGTTGTGTACGTACTAATAATATATTTGATAAGGTGAATTGAGGTAATATTGAACAAAAACGGAATGTGAATTGTGTAATGTTGCTTAGACATGGTTAATAGACAGGGATGTTGACAAGTGCTGCGTTATCAGCATTTGTTTGGCTCTTTTTTTTTTTTTTTTTTTAAATTTTAATGTTTTGAATAGTATTTTTGTTGTAGAATGTGTGATTGAAAAAGATAAAAATTCGATTTACGTGTACTATTATTTTATGAAAGATTATGTGATTGAAAGTAAGAGTAAAAAGAAAAAATTAAAAAGAGAGAGGGGATCAAACAGGCGCAATTTATCCTTAGTTTATTTATTTATAATATGTTATAAATTAAAAATGAAAAATATGAACTAAGACAGGACGGAATATTTTGTCATTGGGAAGGGGCAGTTAATGCCATTAATAGCGCCCTAAGTAATGATGTGAAAATGGTACAATTGTAATTTGTAGACATTACAATGTAGTATTATAATGCATAAACTTTTGGTTCAAGTTTCACCGTGTTATCTATTTTTAATTGAAAAAATGAATTTAACATCCACAAAACAAAGCATAAACATTAAGAGCCCTTTTAGTTTGGTTTAAAATCTGATTTTAATCTAAATCAAAGTCAAACAATCAAGATTAACTACATCTTTCGTGAGCCATACAACTTTTCAACCACACATTTCAAATATTTTTTTATCACAATCTACTAAAAAATTTAATTTAATTCCCACTAATCACCCTCTAAAACAAAGTTCATACTAATTTCAAATATTGGTGTAAAAACTATTCATCTAGTTGTTTCATTGCAGTGTGGACCCCATGATTTATATTTTTTCCTCCCCTCTAATTTCTCATTGCTTTCATTTTCATATATTTATCTTTCAGATACCTTTGGATCTCTCCATTCTGACTGATTTTAGTTCATTGCTTTCTTTTGTCTCTTCTCTCCTCTTCTATCACTTTATATATGTACATATTTCCATTCACCTTTCTTCTTTCTTTATTCTATCAGATCTAACCCCCAAATACAGCTTTATGAATTTTCTCATACATACACATATATAAACCTGTTCTTTCTTTGATGAAGATCACAAGACCCCATCAACATCTTCACATCTATCAAATCCATGCATGAAACCAATGAATTATTACTGTTTTTGAAGGTTCCAACAACCATTCCTTCAACTGTTTGATATAAATACAATCAGCTGTCATAGGGTTATACTTTGTTTAATTCTCAGGATGTCAACGGATAGCTTGGCTGCAAAGATAGGCGGAAAAGATGAAAGCCAAGGCGCCGGCAGCAGGAGAAACGCGGCGCCGAGGCCTCAAGAACCAGCCCTCAAGTGCCCTAGATGTGATTCATCAAACACAAAGTTCTGCTATTACAACAACTACAATCTTTCACAGCCAAGGCATTTTTGCAAGACTTGTAGAAGGTATTGGACTAAAGGCGGTACCTTGCGCAACATTCCAATAGGCGGTGGCTGCAGGAAGAGCAAGAAGATGAAGTCTTGTTCTAGGCTTTCTGGGGAATCAAAGGATTCTAGTGGATCATCCGATTTTGGTTCAAAATTGAATTTTTTTCAGGGTTTTTCACCAGCGATGGATTTTCAGCTTGGAGGGCTAAACTTGCCTGTAATTCACCCTCCAAATACTGGTCTCTTAAACCAGTTTTCACCATCTTTCAGAAACCTGCCAAATTCCTCTGGGGAGATTGCACCAAACCCTTGTTTTAATCTTGATTTTTCAGGGAGTTCATCTCTAATGGGATTCAACTTTCCATTATCTTCTGCACTCAAACAAGGAGAAGGGACTTCAGGGATTCAAGAAATGGGCTCATCATTGAATATTCATAGCAATCTTGCAAGCTCTATTGAGTCCTTGAGTTCGATGAACCAAAATCTGCACTGGAAGTTACAACAAGAAAGATTGGCAATGCTTGAACCTAATCAGATTCAGAAACCGCAATCCATTTTGTTTCAGAATCTGGAAATTTCAAATCCAGAAGCTTGTGGAATTGGAAGTTCAAGAAAGGATGGAACTGAGACTCCAAGTGGAAACTTATCAACTGAATGGTTTTTTGACAGCATTTATGCACCAGGTACAACAACTTCAGCATCCAATATTACTGTCAATACAAACGAAAACAACACCAGCAACTGTAATGGAATGTCATGGACCAATTTGAATCAGTACAGCGCACTGCCGTAGCTAGCAGACAAAAATCAAAAGGTATCCTTATAAGAGCTGTGAGAAGAATTGAAGAACCGAAGATATTATAGGAATACATACCAAAACTTATGCAGACTTATCCTATTATTTTCATATTTTAGTATTTTTCCATTGCTGAATCAAGATGTGAACTTTTGGGAAGTTTGTTTATGTTTTATTTGCTGTGAATCAAACTGAAAAGAGTTGGGAATTAGTGGCTAAATAGGTATTAAAGTTTCTTTCTTATCGAATTTGATTTTAGTTAAAGATTAATTAATGCTCAGAAGTTCAAAATCAAGAATTGTTGTTGTAGTTGATCGATGTTGGAAATTTGAACATAATTTAGCAGTGTTTTCAAGATTTAGTTCTTTACTATAAGAGATAATAAGTGAATGGTTGCCTATGATTGGTTTAATTTTGTGACACTAATTTCGAGTTTCATGACGTTTATATATATATGGAAGGCATATCTTGTCCATTTATAAACACGTTAGAGCGCCTTTTTTAGAAGTTGGTTTTTCAGGTGAGAGTTTTAACAAGCCATCCTTATTTTGAACCATAATGAACAAGACCGTGTGGGACTACTACTGGTAGAATAAGATTATCTAAAGTCACAAAAAAAATAGAATGCCATAGGTATCAGTTTTGGATGAAGGTCTGGCCTATCCATTTTATAAAATCCTTTTTTAACATTCTTCCTTTTAAGCTGGTTTGAGAGCGAGTACTCATAGAAACTGATTATTTAAAGTCGTCACTAACATGAAAATAGAATGTCATGGTCGTCATATCTCAAACGAATATATTGTAACGATTTTTAAGTCTCACATCACCTAGGACTAGCGAGAATCCAGGTCAATCCAGAATGGTTTGAGTCGCAGTACATTGATCCAACTTGGAAAGCATGACTTGTGAATTCATACACAACTTGATTCTAACATTTATGTTATTACTATATTAAACTAGATTTTTTTTATCATCGGAAACTTTTTGAGTTGATCTGTGTAGAACTACATCCAGCGGTGGAAATAGGACGTCCTTAGTGTCATTTGGATCTGATAGATTTTAATGAACTTTAAATGTCACTTCAATCGTGAAAGGTAAGAGTTCTAAGTATCAGTCGTGGAAGGCATGACATGTTAGTGTCAATTTTGAACGGATAAATTATAATACTTTCTAGGTCCAACATCAGTCGTGAAAGGCATGACTGGTGAGAGTCAGTTTTGAACAGATAAATTGTAATGATTTTTAGGTCCCACATCACTCGTAGAAGGCGTGACTTATTAGTGTCAGTTTTAAACAAATAAATTGTAATAATGTTTACATCCCACATCAGCCGTGGAAGGCATGACTTGTCAGTGCCAATCGTAAAAGTCATGACTTGTGAGAGTCAGTTTTGAACGGATAAAATATAATATTTTTAGATTCCACATTACTCGTAGAAGATGTGACTTGTTACTGTCAATTTTGAAGTGATAAATTCATAATAATATTTAAGTCCCACATCAATCGTGAAAGGGATAACTTGTTAGTGTCAATTCTCAATGAAGAGACTCTATCGAAAGTCCCACGTCACTCATTATTTGTAAAACAAGGTTGTTCATCGTTCTTCTTTATAATCGAGTTTAACGTTGAGTCTTGCTTATGTAACTTTATTATAACTTTTATCTTATCCATATATTATATTAAACTAAATATTTAAGAAAAATTCACTCGCGTTAACTAAATTTTTAATCCTTGCAATTAGGCGACCTAACTTTAATTCGGAGTAATTACACTAATGTAGTTTAATTTGCAAATTATTAGAACGTTCTGTTAGCCTTACATTCAGCCACTTAATAGAATTGGTGACATGGCCGTTAAAAGTAACGAATTCTCAATGCATTCCGACGAGTCAGCATAGTAAATTCCACTTGCGGTCAATGAATTTAAGCATTACTTCTGAACTTATAATTTTGGGCAATCAAACCACTGAAACTTTAATTCCAATGTTCTTTAAAAAAGATTCAAAATAATATTTTAAGACCAATAAATAAATAAATACATATGAAACAAAAAAAAAATTAAAAATGGATACTTCCTGTCTAATAGAACCGAAGTTGAACCATTAATAATAAATAAAATGATAAATATATATGCATGTAACAAAAATATTTGGCAAAAATATGTTATTTTTCAAAATTAATTATACTTATAGACAAAAATTACTTATTAATCTTGGTTTCAATTAATTTTTATTTTATATATAGAAAAATCAGTTATTAATTTTGTAGATAAATATCACTTTTAATAAAAATCTAATTATATATGTAGACAAAACTAACTTAACTAAAATTAATTGCAGTCAAGTTTAGTAATGATTTTTGTCAAATACTTTTTTGTTTATTTACATTTTTATTATTTTATTTATTAACAGAAATTCAACCGCATTCTATTATGTAAGAAGTGCGTATTTGGAAATTTGAAATTGTCTAGTTTTTTAAAACTTCGAAATTGGCTAGTTGTAGAAATTATTAAGTAATTATAGTATTTACGATTTTAATTTTTTGTTATGGACTATTTTATTTATTTAATGGTTTTAAACTCTTATTTTGAATGTTTTTTCAGGGCCTTGAAATTAAAGTTCAATCTTGTGATTGCTCCGAATACAAAGTTCAGTGACCTAATTGCAAATAAGGTTAAAATTTAATGAACTCGGATGAAACTTCCTTTGCTGACTTGATAGAACATGTAAAAATTCCATTACTTTTAGAAGCCACAACAGCCGTTCCGCAGTTGAACTTAGAGCTAATAGGGTGGCGTAATTGTTCACAAATTAAAGTACACTAGTGTGATTGCTTCGAGTTAAAGTTAGGGACGAATTTATGATTGGATCCAAGATCGGATTACAAAAATTCAAATCGAACTAATACACGAAAAAATTTTTTTTACACATAACCCCCGCACATCCGTCCCTGGTTAAAGTTCAGTGTCCTAATTACAAGTATTGGACAAGTTCAGTGACCACGGATGAAGTTTACCCCTTCAGACCATCTTAAGCCGCATTCTTTGAAAAAATACATTTTTAAACAGTGATTTGGCCTTTGTTTGATTCCCATTCTTTGAAAAAAAAAAATATTTTTAAATAATATTTTGACATCATTTTAACCACACATTTTTTAATAAAATAATATTACACGCAAATTCAAAAAAATTTCTTATTTTTTAACTATACATTTCCAATCAATATAGTATTCAAAAATTCATTTTTATCAAAAGAATGGGGCTCAAATAAGAGTTTAATATCATTTCAACCACACATTTTTCAATAAAATAATATTACACGCATATTCAATTTTTTTTTATTTTTTAACCACACATTTTCTATCAATCTACTATTTCAAAATTATATTTTTTCAAAATAATTTGGCTCAAACACACACTAAGTCCTTGTTTGAGCACCATTCTTTTTATAAGAATACATTTTTGAATAGTATATTGATGGAAAATGTATAGTTAAAAAATACGAAATTTTTTTAAATATACATTTAATATTATTTTATTAAAAAATATTTGGTTAAAATAATGTCAAAATATTATTTAAGAATAATTTTTTTTTCAAAAGAATAGGCTTTGGTATGAATTAAAAGTCTAATTACTTTTCGCATCTAATGCTAATCTTTTGTTGTTATATACATTTCTTTTGCATCAATCGCTTTGGGATTAGTGTTAGATTTGGACCGTTATTAAATAGAGTTTCAGAACTCTTCTCACTGCGACGCTGTCCCTCTCTATCAGGTAACTAAATCTCAGCCTTCATCAGCCACTGACAATATATACTTATTTGACACAAGTAAACAAAAACTGCACCCTTCTTCCCTGAGCCTACGCCCTGCAACCCAAAGCCCTACACCCTTATTTTCTGTTCTCTTTATACACACAGTGAACAGATGAATTTACGTTGACAGTATTTCATTTGACTTTGGACAAAAAAATATAATTAAAATAGTTAATCCCGTGTTGATATTTAAAAAAAAAAAAAAAGGTTAAACCCCAATCTTGAGGGCCCTCATCGTCCTACTTCTAGAGCTTTGTAAGGGAGATAAATAGTGGGATATGCCCCAACAGACCAAGAAACAAGAGCTGTATGTACACTGTGCTTACAAGGAGTCCAATTTCATGTCTCAGGAATCGAACCACCACACTACGGCTGCCAGCAAAGCGTGAGATAACCTCATTCATGTCCTTTACACTACTGGAATATGCCCTGGGAGGCAATCCGGTGTTGATATTTGAGCACATGTAAAATTGTCGGTGGCATTTTCCCTGTAATAATACATGAACACACCCACACAGTGTTTAGAGTGGAAAGGGGGGATGGATAGACATTTTTTTACTGGACTAATACATAGATAAGAAACGTTTCATGGGAAGTTATTTTTCACGTACGGAAAATTTAACTACAACCTGTGGAGTGTGTGCCTGGCTAGGCATTTTTTGTTATAATTAGTTGCATTGGTGACTAGAAAGTGTATTGAATGAAAGACTGAAGAAAGAGCAGAAAAAATGGAATAGGGTCTGTCATTTGTGTACTTTGGCAATTGCATGAATATGTTTTGTTAACCTTCTTTTGAGTGTTGGGAAGTGAACCCATCTTTACGAATGAAGGGAAAAATATCTTCTCTATTTCTAAATTGCACATTGAGTATCAAAATAGCGAGCTTTGCGACAAGTTAATAAATAAAGTATCATTCTTACAAAGATTTCCTCGAATAAAACTAAAAAAAAAAAAAAAAAAAAAGGGAATTGTTTGGTGATTTTAACTAAGATTAAAATTATCTAAACCAGTAACTAGTGTTCGACAATCTAACTTTGAAATTAATACGATGATCAAGAGTGTTGAGACTTTCGATTATGTCATAATTTTTTTTATTTAACTTCGCCCATCACATTTCAACTATTCGTGGGTTACAAACCAAATTTCTCTAATATATTTGATAGTTTCTCTATGACAAAATCAAACCTAGCTATTATTTTGAAAACAATTGAGTTTTGAATAATGACTTTTTTGAAGAATCTATGGTTAAAAAGTATGGAAAAATACCTGGTTTATGAGCAAAATGTTTTAGTGTAAATGTGTGATTAAAAATGAGGATGAATATTAAAGAATTTTATTTTAAAGAGAGACAAACATGAACTAAATACTATGTCACTATATGGGGAAAAAAATAAAAATAAAAATCCTACACGTTCAAGCACTTGAATTATACAAGAAATTTCAAGTCACTACAATTTTCATAATTTAGAACATCAATGTTATACTATTCGGACCAATCTACACTACAAATTCAATACAACAACTATAAAAAATATTTCATTATGTCAATATTATTTAAGTGAGATACCACTAATCTAAGGAATATATTTTTCCCCCAGTCAGATTTTTTACTTTATTTCTTTCTGAAGTTATACATTCCTTTTAATCTTGCTCGTGAAGCGTAGTTCCCAGTCAGATTTTTTTACTTTATTCTATTTTTAAATGAAATTTGAAAATTTGTGGAATCTTGAACAAAAATTTTGACCAAAATATTGGACAAAATTGTTTAGGAATTGCACTATGGTATAGACCGTGTTGCATGCTTCAACTAAGAATGAATTTAATTTGTGAGTTGAACTAAAAACTAACTTTATTGTATACTTCAACATTTATTTATTCAATATATAAAATGAAATTATTTTTTAATACATTGTCTACATAGTATTGCATATCCTATTTTTCCTAAAATAAAATTCACATGGTGTTAGTGTACATCTTTTTGCACTTCCGAAGGTGGACACCTTGAAAAAAAAGATAATAATAATGTGGCTCGTCTAGTTTAACTATAATTTTGTGATGTGCACAAATATATGGATATATGTCTATATGTGTGTTTGAGTCATATTATTTTGAAATAGTGTATTTAGGAATAATAAATTGATGGAGAATGTGTGGTTAAAAATGAGAAAAAATTTTGAATTTGCGTTTAATATTATTTTATTAAAAAATGTGTGATTTAAATGATATTAAATTACTGTTTAAGATTATATTTTTTTGAAAGAATTCGGCTCAAACAAGGCTATATATAGGGCAGAGTTAGAACAATGGACCGAGCTACACGAACCGCCGAAGTGATAGCGGGAATGACCGCACACACATGAGGGTCAGGATTTTTTAATTCACATGGGATGCACTCCTTCCATGTGAGGGCGCAATCATCCTCATGGTTATCGGTGCGAGTCAAGTGGCTTAATCCTAGAACAATATGAGAGAGGGAGTTGTTCTTGGTAGTTCGAAAAACGAGAAGAATGCATTCTTGACGTCAAGTTGTTTGGCAGGGAAGAAGTCCATTCAACCAACACCATCCATCAAATGACCTCTCATCATTACTATTTTAGCTTTTAGCAAAATTTCAATAATACAGAGCTGTTCATGACATCCTCAGACCTGAATTTACTTCCAAAAAAACACAAATTTTGTTTGCAGTTAATATCAGTATTCTGCCTGGCCTTAACCACCAATCTTTGGAATTTTCTCTACACCGTTCCAGTTCATGCTTTGTAATTAATCTTGACAAAATAAAAAATAATAAAAAATAAATAATATTGATTTGAACTTGAAAATGAAGAGATTTGGAAGGTTGAAAAGTTAATTTGTTAGAGATTAATATAGTTTTTAGTCATGTACATGTGACATTAATTGGTACGATTTTGGATAAATGTAATAAATACTGTGTTATTAATTCTCAATTAATTAACATTCACATTAATTTAAATTTAATGAATCTTGACTTGATAAATCTTGATCTACATTAATTTAGAGATATTATAGATGAATTTATTTATATTTATGTATCTAAAAAATTTAATGAGTATTTAAATTCATGGATTAACAATTAATTCTTATGTACCAAATGTAGTATAAATATGTTGCTCATTTATAGTATTTAATCATCACAAAAAAATTTAAATCATAGAAATTGAATTTTGAAAATAAAATTTTCTTCCCTTAAATTTCTATTCTAAATTATATATATATTTTTTAATTCATTTGAGACTCATCAAATCCTTTCAACAAATTGATATCAAATATTATTTTTATCACACTTATAAATTATTTCTAAAAAACTTGCAATGCACGTTCAACTCTAACTAATTTACATAAAGATTTGGGATGTAATATTTCCAAAATGAAAATAATTTCAAAGTACTAATTTTACTAATTTGTATTGTCACTTTACAACTTAAGTTAGATATACTGCATTAGGGAGAAAAAAAATAAAAAATCTTCTTTATGAGCAATTATCTTCCTTTTTCTATGCTTTCACTTCCATATTTTAACAACGTTTCGAAATGATCGTAATGATGCTTATCCCACGAAAATTGGTGTTGTCCTCTTAGTCAGAAGGATTATCAATTGCCTTTTCCAGTGAAATACTGAATATGTTACACTAAGGGCCTCTTTAATTTGACTATGTTTTCCATGTAATTTTTTCCATTTTCCAAACTTTTGAATTGTTTGATAGCAAAAATTTTAAATGCAATTTGTTCTCCATGTTCCCTCTACACGTGTCATTTCCATGGTTTTGTGGAAAACCTAGTCTCACCATTCCAGCCTTTTTTTTTTTTTTTTTGGACAATTGGAACAAATTTTATTCCCAATTGTAACAAATTTTGTCCCTTTAATTAACAATTTTCATGAAAAATAAAGCAAACAAATACCAAAAGATCGAAAATTTCAACATTTTTCAAATAGAAAATTATACCAATCAAACACATTAATTCATAATTCCCAAAAAAACAAATTCTTAACAATTCAATTCCTTGGAATTCGTTCTCTTTCCACCCAAACTCCATCCTTACAATCAAACAAACCCTACTATTAATGGACACTTTTTTTTTCCCCTCTCCCCCCTCTTAGGCTTCCAAGTGGACCATAATCTATATGCTGAACTGACTACACTAGACGTGTATCCTATAAATGACTCTACAATATGGTCCGAGCAAAGCACAAATCGACAACCTAGTATAGATTAGCTGTAACAAGACAATGGGCAACTACATGATATTTAAAGATGACATCTCACCTACCACTCCCCATATTTCGCAATATGTACTTTGTTCATTTTCATTGGAAAGTATGCAATATTTGAAAACCTAGCAAGAACTCAATTTGTATGTCTTCCTACACCCAATTTCAATATGTGACTCGAGATTCGAAGTGTAAACTGTTGTTGCACCACCCCCTAGAATTGCAACCTTCACTCTAACAAGTTATTGGGTGGATGGAGATGTGGCCAAAATGTATTAACTACAAGGTCAGGAAGATTTTAAGTTCAATAGACAAAATCACTCAGCTTAACGACCAAGAATTTTATGCAAACTTCAACAGATATCACAAAATCACTCAAGGACCAACTGTTTTATGCAAAGTTCTCCATGTCTCCAACTGTTACAAGCAAAATGCTCTTTAAAAGGATGTTAGTTGGATTTTGTCGTTGGCGATATATAAAATATTGTATTAGATGGATAATCAGATCTGAGGTTAACACATTACAATCAAGCTTAGCGAATGAAAGAGCCAGGACAGATATTGTCCACTCAAGCATCACATTACATGTTAATGATACAAAGCAACTGTTCTAACATACAATACAGTTAAACAGCAGTTAACAGTATATATGCAGCTGTGTTTCTTGTAAGATTCAAGAAACCAGAATTCAAGTGGCCTTTCTTGTGTGCACAGTGAAAGCAGTGGGGTTTACTTTGTTACCTTGACCAAATCCTTTTTTTGCTATCCCTCTCTTTAATCACTTGAACTGGATCTCTGCTTGTTTTGTTATGAATAGCAGGCCTTTGAGTAGAGATGACTGGCTTAGTCGTTCTTGAAACCCTGGGAAAAGGTTTAGGCGGATCGGATTGTCTACCTCTGTTATCACTTACTGGAGTTGGTACCGCCATATTGTTCTCGACTTCACTCTTCCTTCTTGACAATCTTTTCTTTCGAACCTCTTGAAGAGTATTGTGTTCCTTTACCAAAACCGATCCTTGAGCGACTTGGCGTTTTGCTGAATTTAAGCTCCTTAGAATATGGTGCTCAGTCTCAGTTGTGATCTCGTCTCTAACAGATTGTTCATGTTCAATAGGGGTGGATCTAAATGGATTGACAGATTCTGGAATCACCTTGAGTGTCAACTGCTTTTCTTGCTCTCGTACCTTATCTTCAAGTTCTTTGATCTGCAATTAGCGTAGGCATATTAGTACTTTTGGCTACATCATTTCTTTTGATCATACATACTTAATGCCCAGCAGCTTCTGGTTCATTCGACATTGTTAGAGAAGAAAACACATTAGAGCTAATGAAACGTGCACGCTTAGAGTGAAAATACACATTTACAGGCACTAGAGTGAGAATGGATGAGAGCTTCACCTTTTGACGAAGTAACGTGACCTCTGGATTCTGTTCCTGCTCTTTCAACTTCGTCTCAAGCTCATCAAACTTAAAGTCCGAGAAAGAAATTGTTAGAATTAGTTTGTCACGTACTACGTCAACCATACTTCCATGTTAATGCAATAATAAATTTTAGCAACCTTGTATTGAAGGATTACAGAGCGAGACTCATGCTCTTGGACTTGCTCTTTCAGCTTCTTCTCAAGATAATTAACCTGGTTCACAAATATGATAAAACTTTCCATCACCATGAAAAATCAAGCAACTAAAACAATCAGAAGGGGGGGGAAAGCGCTTCTACAAAGATTCAAGTCAGAGAACCTTTTCCTGGTATGCTGTAGACTTAAATTCTTCTAGATCTTTGAGCTTGTTTTCAAGTTCTACTACCTTCATCAAAGTTCAGAGATAATACGAGAACAATTAGAAAAATTTCGAGCTATTAACATACTACTAATCATCGTAGATAAGGCACCTTCTGTTGAAGTCTCTCACAAGTTTCTTCCTTTCCCTTTAACCTCTCCGAAAGAAGTGAAATTTGTTTCTCGGATTGGCCATGGAGTGATGTCTTTAGCTCAAGCTGGCCTTCTAACTCTTTTATCTTGTTCAGTTGGTTTTTGTAAATCTGATCCTTCCCTTTGGCTTTACTTTCTAGGTTTTGTAAGCTCTCTTCAAGGGTTCTCATAGCTTCGTCTTTGGACCTAGATTCTTGTCTTGCTTTATCAAGCTGAGAAAGATACAAGACAGATGGAAACAAATGCGTGACAAAACCAAGATGAGATTAGCATATATTAATATAATCAATATATTAACAGAACATTTGATTTAGGATTGCCAGACATACCATCATTTTCATCTTTTGGAGCTCACCGGTATCAATTTGCTTTCTAGCAGGACCCAACTCAACTCCTCGAACTCTGGTTGCAAAATTAAGTGAACTCAATGTTTCACTTAAATCGTGATCAGAAGGACTAATTTGAACAAACATCAAGGTTTTCGAGTCACCACCTACAATAATGTATAACCTTATTCTGTTAGAAAATATGGACCCAATATAAGAATGTAAAATCTACTTCTCACTGGGCTACAGACATTTTTTAATAGGGTAGAAAACAAATAATGTCATTACCTAACGAATCTTGGAGTAGATGAGTCAGCTTGGAGTTCCTGAATTTGCAACCACAACACATTAAAATCTGAATGTTAGCGTCTCGTGTGCAGCTGGACCAAATTAGACGTAGAAGATTAAAGAAAACCTGTAAGGTATGTGGCTGCTTTTATTTGCCAAGGCAGATATAACATCTCCAAGAGCTGAAAGCGACCTATTGATGTTTTGAGCTTCCTTGAGCCGATCACCTTGGACATCGGTCTTTGCAATCCGCTCACTTCCCGCCAAATCTACAAGCCAAAGCTTACTCTTTGTGCACACTTCCGTGAGTAAATTCTTAGCTCTTACCATTATAGAAAGCATGCTGAGATGAGATGACGTATTGATAAGGATAATACCAGACAATTAGGGTATAATTGGTAAAGTGGACTAATCAATATTGGATAGTAACAAAGACCAATGAGCTAAAAGCTTTTTCATTGTGCTATCCAATCTTGTACTCTATACCAAACATATTAACTTATAATACAGTAAATACGTTATGGACAAGCAACAAACCAAAATAGCTGGGAAAGCTGTTTACCAGTGAGAACGACTGCTATGTTCGTTCACATTATTTGATCCAACAGCTCGAGCACTACTTCCAGCCTTCAGAACATTCCACACTTCATTTATGTCTTCCACTTTGGCTTCCACAATCCCCGGGATATGATGAAACCCTTCTGAGGCTTGCTTTATCTCTAACCTAGAGTTACAGCGTGGAGAGCAGTTCATTTCAAAAGTAAAGCAAAACTATTTTTCTAAGTTAGTACTTTTTTAATGGCATGTTTGGTAAGGTAGGTTAGAAAGTACTTGACATTGCTAAGTTCAGTTTAATATTGTATTCCAAACATCCACCAGATGCATGTAGAGTGCATATAAGAACAAGAAGTTTACTTCTTGGATGTCGATGTAGCCAGCAGGTCCCTTATCTGCTCATTGTAGACTTCAAGTACACTAACTGAAATGCTGTAAGAAAAAGTTTCACTCCTCTCATTGGCAATTTTGAATAATTCTTCCAATGTCCTATAATTCACTCCTCGGTTAACCTCAGTGCCTTCCATTGTGAATGTCTTGCCGGTTCCTGTCTGTCCATAAGCAAATATACAGACATTGTAACCATCTAATACTGAAATCACCAGAGGCGAAGCATCGGCAAATACATCAGCTGTTTAATGATAAGACAAAAAGGTTAGCACAGAGACAACTTGTAACCGCAATAATATACCTGTCTCCAAAATCTGTCTTGATATTTTTTTTTTTTACGAAAAAATTATACATCAAACAAAGTAGAGTACCTTGACCATCTTTTGGTGTGTAAACACGGTCAAACTTGAAAGTTTTTTTTGCAGATCCACTACTTAGAATTCCAAGTTCTCCATCCTTGGCTGCATCAAACTCCACAACCGATGCACACCCAGATGAGACCTCTGACTTGCTTAGCGGACGGCAGCGACAGAATACCCGAATATTTCCTGATGTTCAAACTAAGCCATGGTTAAAAACATTCAATGATTTGTCAAACTGAATAAAAAAAGGTTGCGAACCTTTAGTCTCCTGAACTTGATTATAAAGCTTTCGTCTCTTCATTTGCTCTTCATTATACTTCACTTTGAAATCCTCGCACTGTTCAACTGCAAATTGATCTATATTACATAACACCCCCTACATGTAAAAGTTTATTGAATTTAACTTTCTAACAACTTACCCAGTGTCTGAACTGCGGAGACCATTTTGCTCAAATCAGGAATGGTATCAGCACAATCATGCGCTTCACAAGAAAGCTGCATATGCTCTCGTTTCAACACCTGTATAAAATATTTCAGCATGTTATTTGATATCACAAAGGAACTTTTTTCTTATTCGAACACTATTTCCCTCTGAAATTTCAGAAGAAAACAATACTAAATACCTTTACTTTATTCTGTAGATTATTGATTGCCACAGCCCAATACTTCTTCTCTTTCTCATATTTATTTGAAATCGCCCCAAGTTTGTCAGCTTGCTTCTCAAGAGTTTGATCTATTAAAAAGGTAAAAAGCTTATAACTCAGAAAGAGTTAGAATGCCTGAAACATCGTTGCAAATAACTTTCTATTTTTAAACCTAGTTATTCCATTGAAAATGTTTACAGGTTGTCCTTCATTACCGAGGAACATAAGCAGAGGAAAATTAAGACCTCATAATCCAAAGAATACAAGGAAATCATGAAAAATAGGCATCCAATGACCAATAGTCTCTCTAAATTAGTCTGATCCTGAAAATCTCTATATTCAGTAGTATCAAGTATAATTAGCTGGAATGTAAAAGATAACCACCATAGCTATATTCTTCATGAAAACAAACTAGTCTTCAACATTATCTCTTCCCATTTGATTTGAAGTACCTACTAAAATAAACACCCATTACTATTTCTTATTCTTCATAAGGACTTACTTGATTTCCCTCTTCATTCTTTATTTTCCCTTTTTATTTTACTTGGTATATCTGGCAGAATCTGGTATTATCATTCTCAAACTTAGATTCTCATTTTCAAAAGCAGAATGCAAGAAGCTAACTAAGTTCAATTTATACTGTGAGAATAAACCTTACAAATTATCTCATTAGAAGACTGAAAGTCAAGTTGTGAGCAAATCAACAGGAAACATTATAATCTATTCAAATCAGGAAAAGTTATAATCTATTCAAATCATAAATGAGAAATGATTGAACATTTCCAACACATAGGAAAACTTCAAGAGTAATATTCAACATAAAAAACAAAACAGTTATGCAAATTTCAAATTTGTGGATATCTAATCTAAATGAAACCAAAAGACACTTTGAGTCCTTCCCCTTCACGTGAAAAATATCAACAATGCTCTCTCGAAATAAATTTAAAAACAAAATATTAAAGTTAGAAATTTATTCATTAAATCTCACCAAGGGTATATGTTTGGAATGTCTTGTTGTCAAGATCCATCCTAACCTTCTCTAGCTGCTCGTTAGTAGCTGTCCAAGACATCCAAGATTGATAGCATTCATCTGTCTTGCGCTGCAACTTATCACTCAGCTCTTGAATCGTTTTCTCATACTTGGCCGTTGATTTCATTCGCACTTTTGTTTTCTGCATGCTCCAAATGTCATTAAGTAATAAGAAGTCGGAACTCAGGCCCTTGCCCTTAAATTACTGCAAGCATAGGATCAGTTGTAACATACCTGAGTTGATGGATACTTTATCTCGGTCGCACAGTTATTGCATACAAAATATTCACAATTAACATGAGGTACTGCAACCAATGAGAGATAATTAAAGATTCATAACTTTCTCGTTTAAATTCTCAACCTTTATTGTGGTGTTTAACAGCATAGAAATACCTGACTCTCTAGGTGGTGCCCTCCTAACACATATGCCACTGACTACTGGGCTTCCAAGTATCCCTTCAAACCGTAACACCAGCAGCCCATCATCCTTAATAGAAACTCTAGCATCGACTAATTGCAAAGGTTTATTGGAACCAACAATTGAGAAGATATCAAAATCAGATAAAATCTGCATTTAAAATAGCCCCAAGTTATTAACTGAAACATGAATATTTTAGCATTATAAATAACAAAGGAACGGAAGCTATAATCAACCAACTTGCCATTTCATCTTTCACAAAAACATTGAACACCCGCATTCCTTTGGGCCCATCTATATTTATTAATTCAACAAAATGAAGATCCAGAAAGTAATCTCCAGGGGAAAGACCATCAATGCGGTAACAGAAATCTCCCAATCTTGCTGATTGATAAATGAATGGATAGTCTCCACCGCTACTGATTAACTCCTCAGTTTGAAATGTATCTCCCCCTTCAAAGAATTTGTCATCCCGAAAGCTTATACCGAAATCTGGTTCAATTGACTCCTTGGAACCAGCATTAACAAAAAGCACAATTTCCTCTAATTGAAGAAACCAATGCGATGAAGTTAGAACCATGATACACAGTACATATTATAACTTCATCAAACTCACAGAAAGCAACAAGAAAAGAATTGTAGTGGGCTTAAAAGCATGAAAAATAAGGCGAATTTCAAAAATTTCCATCCACTTTTTCTTGCTAGCTGAGCAACAAACTTGTCGACCAAAAATTGACAACAAAAATCATCAACCTACCTTAACTCGTGAATAACTATTATCTCATAGAATGACATCAATTATATAATTTATTTGATAAAAACCCTAATCTTGATTCTGAGAGATCGTAGGTCTAAACATCATGTATAAAAGCCAACCTGAACAATTAGGTTTTCGGAATCCATTCGGGACTAATCTCGAACCAGAATCGCAGACCATTGAATCAGCTAATGACTCTGAACTTTCATCTTCTTCCATGGCTGAAATTTCACTTTCTTGATTCAAGATTTTATCTCCTTCACAGTAAAAATTGCAGGAAGAAACACATGGATCTGGGATTTGGACTTCTGGGTTATTCCCTAACGGATTGATTTGAACGTTCTCCATGAATTTCGGTGCTCGTGAGCGGGAAAATCTTCAAGTTTGCAGAAGAGAAAAGCAAATGGCTTCTTTTTGCAGTAGGAGAGCGTCAGTGTGTGGAATAGGTATTTGTGTGTTTGTTGTTTGAATTTGAATTTGAATTTGTCGACCGTTTAAATTAGGGAAATTTGGAAGGGCCTACTATTTACGTTATATACATTCCTATTAAAGTATTTAGGCCTGTTCGATTCACATTTCTTAAAAAAAAAAAATAATAATAAAAAAATAAAAATCTTAAACAGTCATTTGATAATATTTCAACCATACATTCTTTAATAAAATAATTTTACACGTAAATTCAAAAAAATTTCTTATTTTTTAACCACACATTTCCCATTAAGAGTAAATTTAACCAATAATCACTGAACTTTACACTTGATTACTACTTGCTCACTCATCTTTCACATATTACTGAATACTCACTCATCTTTTCATATAATTGCTCATTCACCACTCGTCTCTTCAAATAATTGGGCGACTTTTACGGTAAATTTTCGACAACTTCCGACCACAAAGAATGTCGAATTTTGATACCGTTGGAAAGTCCACGATATCCTCTTTAATTACCACCCAAAATCTCATTATAACTCCAAGGGATTCGATCGAAAAATTGCCTTAAAAGTTGCCCAAAAATTCTGAAAATCTGCCCAGATTTTCAAATTTTTTGGGCAACTTTTAAGGCAATTTTTCGACAACTTTCAACCATCAAAACTATCGAATTTTGATATCATTGGAAAGCCCACAATGTCCTCTTCAATTACCACCCAAAATTTTCCTATAACTCCAAAGGATTCGGTTGGAATAAACTCACAAAATCAGCATCTTTGAAAGGCGAAAATCTGGACAAAGTTCGGGTTGTATCTGTAGAATGCCATGCCAAGTAGGTCTATTCAAAGCCGAATATGTCTTTCATTTGATGGGCTATGTCTCAAGCCGAAAACTTAAGTCTACCTCCACTACTTACAAAAGGTAGAGAGATTAGCCTCTCGAAGCATAACTCAGTAGTGCAAAGGATAGGTAGTCTCAACTTTGCTGACAGCCGCAGTGTAAGGGTTTGATTCCTGAAATATGAAATTGGACTCTTTGTAGGCACCAGTGTATAGGCAAGCTCTTGTTCCTTGACCTGTTGAGATATATCCCACGATTTACCTCCTTCATGATGCTCTAGGGGAGACGCGGTGGGGACTCTCAACGTTGGGGTTCAACCTTTTTTTTAAAAGGCAGAGAGATCAACTTTAAAAACCTTAGCAAGGCCCAACCTATTGAGATCCCCTACTAGTGGGGAGTAGACTCTTCAGAGGCTGAGGCATCTAGCTCCTATCGTTCTTTTGCTACCTTTTTCCTCTATCAACAACTCATATCATTCCCTTAGCCATCCCCACCATTATAATTGAAGAAGATGACATCCTTCTTCATACATTGAGAATGCAAAGGAAGAGACCGGCTAACGAGGGCTGAGAAGGATCTTGCCTTACAGGCTGTCTAGATGTTGTATTCCAAAAATATTGGACAAAGAGGTGGCAAAACCACACCTTCTCAGGTGACGCGATGACTTACCAGAGGTCAAGAATACCTAAAGGGCCAAGGGTCTTGGAGTTCATTTAGCTACACAAGACTTAGTCAAACATAGGTAGAGGCATAATCGAAAGTTCTTCAAAAATGCTTCCAAGGCAAATGAAGCGGTTAAGAAGCCTATATCCGAGGTGAAAGTGGTTGAACTAAAATGAATTGAGGTGGAAATGAAGTTGGACTCTATCGAGGTTGAAATAAATTGGATGAAACAAAAGTTGCATAAATCTCAAAGCAATGTTGGTGCTATGATGATGTGTATTGAAGCTTCGAATAACCATTAGAAGATAGCTATCGAGGCCTTGAAGGCACAAATAAAGAAAAAGGCTAGTTGATGATCGAAGTGGAGGGTGTGAGGTAAGGATAACTTGTATCCGGGTTTTTTAATTGCTTTATTATCCTTGTATGACTTGCATATATATTAGATAGATGTTAAAACTTCATTTTTAAATGGTAAATTAATCGAGAAAAAATATATGAAACAACCAGAAGGTTTCAAAGTAAAAGGAAAAGAACACAAAGTTTGTAGGCTTGTCAAGTCCTTATACAGATTGAAGAAAGCTCATACAAAGTAGCAAGAGAAGTTTGACAAATATATCGTGATTAGAAACTAGTTCGATATAAAAAAAATGTGATAAATGTGTTTACTTAAAAAAATTCTAAGAATCATTTTTGGTTTGTGTTTATGTTAATGAAATGCTCATATTATGAACTAATACAGAAGTCATTAATAAGTCAAAGAAAGTGCTCACAAATAATTTTGATATAAAATATATGTGTTAAGAAGATATGATTTTGGAAATGAAAATCTCTGGAACACTTGATGGGATAATTTTATTTAAGAACATTAGTTAGATAAAGTGATTTAGAGGTTTAGAATAAATGGTATTAATGATTCTAATAATCCATTTTCTCCTCATGTATTTCTTCACAAAAATATCAAAAAATAGTAAACAAGAATTAGAGTATTTCCAAAAAAATTGAAAGTCTAATGTGTCACAATACACACAAGAGGTAATTTTCATTCATACATTCAATAGGTGGGTTACAGAGTTTATATAGGAAAAAAAAACTCCTAATTTTGGATAATCACAAATCTGTAGTTAATTAATTGATTCTACACATAATTGCCTAATTCTATTCCCTTAAAATGATACAATTATATATGATTTATGTTTCCAGAAAAAGATTTCTAACAGCTCACTCCAACAAAAACTTCTTTTGTGAAATAGGCCAGACCGGGACATTTCTCAAGAACAATAACTAAAGAACCTGATACTATCACCTAAATTTGGAACCTACATGCTGATGCTCACAATTTCGATAGCCATACTAGTGATTGAATCAATTCCATATTGTTTCCAAATTAGTGAAATGTTATGGTAAAAGATTATTTGAAACGATATGGTAGTGCGACTTGAAGGACGGATCCATTGTGGGCTTTTACATTCGCTATTTTATATTTATGTACACAAATCGTTTGTTCAGTTCCACTCGAACTCTTCATTTTTTGTTGGTTTTTAAATAGTCCACAATGGAGCTCGAGTAGAGATGTAGGTTCAATAAAAAAAACTAGTTATGAATGACTGGGTGAAAAGTACTTCGAAGCTTTAACTCCTCATTTATAAATATGTGTTGTCTGCAAAATATTGGTTAGGATAACTATGCTAAGATGAATATATCTTGTAAATAGTGCAAGTGAATTACTATAGAGTACTATTTATAGAATATCACGTATGTGGGTGCAATGCAAACTTGGTTGGTTTAATTGAGAATTTTACTAATACGAATTCTCTAACGCACTTGGAAAATCCAAGAGAGTTCATGGCCGAAATAATGAACACAATAAAGAACCAGAGTTTGATATGAGAGATAATACATTAGATCTATTGTCTAGGAATACAGTAACGATTGAAATTTCAAAATATTGCATCAATAGTCCAATATATTCTTATTAATGAAGTTTCAAAGTGAAAGCTATCAATCCTAATGTATTATCTTTCAGTAATACTCTTCTTTGTCTTATTTGATCTTGTCAACTTCTTTCATTCATGTGAAAGATTGTTGGAATTAATTTGGTCTATTTTTTGGATCAAGAAATTAAATTGGATAATTTAATGTAGTGGGCTATTGAAATTAATTGGGTGAATTGGAAAAGTCTTTAATAAAAAGCCCATTAGAATTTTTTAAGTGTAAAATAATGGTATTGGATCTCACATTGAAAGATTACAAGAGCAGAGAGCTTGTACTTGTTTATATTGTGGAATGTCTTTAGAGTTAGTAATATGATACTGCTAGTCCACCCATACCATGGCTAGCTTATGGCTAGTCCACGGCTGGCCCTACTGCCTTAGCTAGCGGCCCCTGCCTGCGACCCTTAGCCTGCCCTGACCGGGATCTGTACACATCTCAAAGATCACATCAGGTGCTTCAGATTTTTATACCAAATTCATTATACGATCTAGTTCAGTACACTTATTAATACACCCTACAAGAATTTTTTATTACTCCATGGAAATTGATTATACATAAAAAAGAGTCATCGATTACTCGTATTGGCTTTCGTATAGAGATGTTACTAAAAGGATGGCTAGTTGAGTGATGTGGAGCTTGAAGAGGACAGTGCAAGCAAGTTGATCTCTCAAGCCTCCAACGCTCTCAAGTGAAAGGAGTGAAGGACACTACAACTAACATAGCAATAGAATCCCACATAACGAACATATTAACAGAACTCCGCCGAACAAAATAACAACTTTGAATCCATCTAACCTCCTTCCCTAAGAGACTTGTTTTTTCTTAATGATTGACTTGAACTAAAAATTCATTTTCTTTAAAGACATATTTTCTAAAAGTAGATTCAGAAACACGAAACCTCTTAGCAAATGAATATAACAGAATTTAAAATAGAACGTATTTGGTTGTGAATCACTTGGGATGATACTATATTAAAAGTTGGTATTTGATTCAAACTGAAAAACATAATAGAATATTATTATTAGTAATCACCATTTTTTTCAAAAATTTTTGTTTGTACGTTGTCAGAAAATAAAAAAATACGATAATGTTCAAAGGTTGGTTTGTTAAAAGAACCTTTCAAGGGAGTAGTGAAACTTGCGATCAACACGTAGTGGTAGGTATATATCATCACTATTATTAATAACAGGATAACATAATACGGTATTTTATATGCACGTTTGTTAATTACTAATGGTCGGGAGATTATGGGCTTGATTAATAGTTATACTTGTTTGAATGTTTGAATGTTGAGCAGTGTGAACGATGAGCAAGAGCATACAGAGAAGGACAATAACAATTTAAGAATTCGAAAATTCCATAAGCCAAACTGTTGGAAGTGAACTTTATATCATGATTGGGCGATGCCTATTGATGAAGAAATATTTTTGGAAAATAATATTTTCACTAATATTATATAATCTTTCAATTAGTATTAGAGTAACTAATAAGAAAATTCCATATAGTAACATTTTTTTAATTATAACAATGCTTTCCACTTCAAAAACTATAAGAAAA